TCTCTCCGCTCCCCTCTGTGAAAACATTCGATGGCATTGGTGATGGAGAGCAGAACGATTCCACTCAACGACCTGCTTGTTTGTGCACAAGGTGGTGCAGGTAGTCCTAAATTGCCTGGTTGGAATGAGTCTCCTTTCCTCAACCACCATCAACATGCCCTCCCATCCGCCTTCCTCCTTTACCTCTAAAACACAGCTTCCAGGAAAGTAGACTTGCTCCACCACTCTCACTTGCACTTGGTGAGGTGTAAGGTGTGCGTCAGGCACGTGAGCGCATGTCTCGCCTGCTTTACCAAAGCCGCCACCTCCTGACACCATCGCACACCTCAATGATCAGCAGCATTGCCTCACGTGCGAATCACTCCCTCGCCTTGCTCATACACTGACAACAGTGGTATGGCGTAGGCAACAAGAATTGAGTTGACTTAAGTTGACTTGTGTTGACTTGAGTTGAGTTGTGTTGGTCAGTTGAGGTGGAGAACATTATCACGGGACGAGGTCCAACATCTTTCACTGCTCCAATCCAAATGGCTCTGCAAGCCTCACTAGCAGTGTCGCCTGCTGGAGGCAGCTCCACACCACTCTCTATCTGGTTCAGTGAAGTAGGCAACAAGAACAGGGTAGTAGTGGGTAAATGACTACCTGCGGCAATGCCTTCGACACCTCCCAATTCATCCCTTCCAAGTACTCGTGTGCGTGTCCAAACGCGCCTCTGTATCCACCTCCCATAGCATCGTCATTTGATGGGTTTGTGTAGGAGGCAGGTGCTCAACGTCTTTTGGATATGGGAGCACTTTCAACAAACCAACACCACACCCACGCATTGAGTGGATTGATGTGCAGTCATGGGTGTCAGGTGGACTAAATAGCATTACCATTGGCGGCCTGAGTGGCAGTTGGGAGGGAAACGCATCCACCGACATGTGTGCAACGATTTAAAGGAACTAAGTTGAATGATTCGCCTGCTTCAAGAATTTGCTTCTTTCCTTTCCAATACTGAACATTGATTGGCTGATCCACAAACCAATCACCACTGCTCAGTTTAGATCACGTCCCTCCACCAATCATGCCAATCACACTTCGTCTCGAAAGTCAGCACGAATCAACAGTCACAAGACACACTACCATTTACGAGGTCTTCAACCTCCTCCTCTCCTTGGGTCGACTTCTAGCATCTCGATTCTCACTACACCACAGCAAGGCAATTGTGTGCTGGCTTACGCACAACACCGTCTCAACACCCTCCTCTCTCCCCGCCTCCTCCCCTGATACTGGGAAAAGGCACGACACGAATAAAATGCACAAAACGCATGGCAATGGAGGACCTCTTCATCGGGAGTTGCAGATGTTCTTCCACCACTCTGTACGCATATCTTTACGTAACACGTGTTTTGGACGAAGTTGACAGGAAGCACTTACCACCACCTCCATGCCACACACAGGAAAGTGATTCCTCACTGTGACGCTTTCACCTTTAAAAACTGCAATCAATTTGTCTCTGTCCATCCATCGCTCACCCCTGATGCAACCATCAAAACCAATGTTCTTTCGTAGAGCAATAGCAGCACCAGAAGCAGCACTAGCAGCGTGAGCAGCAGTTGTTACTGTCGAAGTGGCAACAGCAAGTGTGTGAAGAAGAGGCATAAACTCGTCAACGCCTCCTCACATCCTCATGCGCTCATTTTATTAATTTATTTAACCCACATCATCCACCTTTCTTTGGTCACCTGGTAGCGGATTGCAACTGATCAATCGTGGCGTTCTCCTCCTCCTCCTCCTCCTCCCTACTATCACATCCCCACTTCATTTAAAATAGGTCCTCCATCATGGAAAGGGAGACGGATGGAGGATGAAAACAGCATCCTGCTTATCGCTTTACGCATGTGCAGGTGCCGGATTCGATGATGTCGTCGAGGAGGGCGAGATAATAAAGACGCTGCAACTGTGGTGCACTTTGGTGCACCATTTTCCCATGCAATGGTCGAGATAGCGAGGAGGACATTCCTGTGTGAGGGACAGGTGCACAAGCAAACTGGCAATCCTTGCCGTCTGTGGATGAGTTGATTCGGTTAAGTGCTGCCAAATGCACATCACAATGTGCCAAACACATCCAATGCGGTGGGCAAACAACCACCTTGATGAATGAGCTACTCACCATCACCAACCTGATGCCTTTCCCTCACTGGTAACGTGGACATTCCACGTGTCGCAGCAATCACGGAATTAGGCCTGACACGCACTCAACCGCCCCAACGTCTGTGCACCTGCACT